CAAATAACTATTGTCTATCACCTCAAATTTACATATAAAATTAATAAGAACAAAAAACTAACAAGCGTTTAACAACCCAGTTCGATTACATCGATAAGTATATTTTTAGAAGGTTTATATTTAGTTATATTAATTATATTATTTTTGTTTATTAGTTTGTTTTATATTTATTATTACGTGTCACAAGTTATTATTCATATTATTTGTTATATTTAATATTTTTTAAAACTTTATCTTGCTCTTTCACATGTTCTTAATTGTAGATTTGTCAAAAAAGACATAATATAAAGTATATAATTTTCTCGATCATTTGTTTCATTATATATCAAATATTTGTATATCCTATATTATATTATATTTAATTACAATTTTTTAATTAAATATTTACAATTCATAAATTCATTAATAATATTGTCGAGTCAACTTTTGTTCATAAAATTTCTAAAAATATATTATTTTCATTGATTTGCTTATGTTGAATTGAGAAAAGTTATGTTTTTTAATTATACATAGGCAGGATATAAGATTTCTTATATTTTTTATGTAGTATTTATTGAGTAATTGTGTTTACAATTTTTTTATTAAAAAAAATTAAACACGTGAACTTTTTAGTTCCTATAATTTTTTTTTTCAGAAATCACTCATTATTTTATCCCAAAATTACCTATTAATTTACCAATTGAGTTAAATTTCTCACATATTAAATATTATATAATTAAAGTATTTCTTGTTTTATATGTTCAATATGATACTTATATATTATATTAAAAAATCTAATATAGTAAATAAAAAAGTTATTTAAAATTAGAATAATAATGTTTTTTTTTTCTAATCTACATGTATAAATGTACAAATAACTATTGTCTATCACCTCAAATTTACACATAAAATTAATAAGAACAAAAAACTAAAAGTGTTTAACAACTCAGTTCGATTACATCGATAAGTATATTTTTAGAAGATATATATTCAGTTATATTAATTATATTATTTTTGTTTCTTAGTTTGTTTTATATTTATTAGTACGTGTCACAACTTAGTTATTATTCATATTATTTCTTATATTTAATATTTTTTAAAACTTTATCTTGTTCTTTCACATGTTCTTAAATGTAGATTTGTCAAAAAAGACAAAATATAAAGTATAGAATTTTTTCGATCATTTGCCTCATTATATATCATATATTCGTATATACTATATTATATTATATTTAACTACAATTTTTTAATTAATTTTTTAATTAAATATTTACAATTCATAAATTCATTAATAATATTGTCGAGTCAACTTTTGTTCATAAAATTTTTAAAAATATATTATTTTCATTGATTTGCTTATGTTGAATTGAGAAAAGTTATGTTTTTTAATTATATATAGGGAGGATATAAGATTTCTTATGTTTTTTTATGTAGTATTTATTGAGTAATTGTGTTTACAATTTTTCTATTAAAAATATATTAAACAAGTGAACTTTTTAGTTCCTATATTTTTTTTTTTTCAGAAATATTATTTTATCCCAAGATTACCTATTAATTTACCAAATTGAGTTACATTTCTTACATATTAAATATTATATAATTAAAATATTTCCTGTTTTATCTGTTCAATATGATACTTATATATTATATTAAAAAATAATATTGTAAATAAAAAAGTTATTTAAAATTAGAATAATAAAGATTTTTATTTCTAATCTACATGTATAAATGTACAAATAACTATTGTCTATCACCTCAAATTTACACATAAAATTAATAAGAACAAAAAACTAACAAGCGTTTAACAACTCAGTTCGATTGCATCGATAAGTATATTTTTAGAAGTTTTATATTTAGTTATATTAATTATATTATTTTTGTTTATTAGTTTGTTTTATATTTATTAGTACGTGTCACAACTTAGTTATTATTCATATTATTTTATATATTTAATATTTTTTTAAAACTTTATCTTGTTATTTCACATGTTCTTAATTGTAGATTTGTCAAAAAAGACATAATGTAAAGTATAGAATTTTTTCGATCATCAGCCTCATTATATATCAAATATTTGTATATTCTATATTATATTATATATAATAACAATTTTTTAATTAATATTTTAATTAAATATTCATAATTCATAAATTCATTAATAATATTGTCGAGTCAACTTTTGTTCATAAAATTTTTAAAAATATATTATTTTCATTGATTTGTTTATGTTGAATTGAAAAAAGTTATGTTTTTTTTAAATATATATGGAGGATATAAGATATGATGACATTAGTATATTACCAATTTGCCATTAAAAACATGTGAAAGTAAGGGTTTTTAAGTAGTTCAATTTTTAATTAAAAATATAAATAAAATATGATGTGTATTAGTGTATTACTAAATATTGTCAGTCAACTTTTGTTCATAAAATTTTTAAAAATATATTATTTTCATTGATTTTCTTATGTTGAATTGAGAAAAGTTATATTTTTTTTAATTATATATAGGGAAGATATAAGATATGATGGCATTAGTATATTACCAATTTGCCATTAAAAACATGTGAAAGTAAGGGTTTTTTAGGTAGTTCATTTTTTAATTAAAAATATAAATAAAATATGATGTATATTAGTGTATTATTAATTTGCCATTAAATTTATGTTAAAGTAAGGGTTTTTTTAGGCATTATGATTTTTTTACAAAAACACTCCTCCTTTTAAAGTAGTATAGATATAGATATGCATTGTGAAAATTTATGGGAGTATGTAGAGTTACGTAAATGTGTAAGAACATATTTGAATTAAAAGGGGAAACGACTATTTAAACAAATTAGTTTGGAGGAGTGTTTCACTACCCATCAGAGCAAATATGTCGAGCACATGATGTATAGTTTGGAATTACGTACAAATATAGAACTCTCTACTGGAATATTACTAGGGAGTTGTCCCACATTGATTCTATAGGGTAAATGGACCTAGTTTATAAGCTTAGTGGGCTACTTCTCCCATCACCAATTGGTTTTGGGATTAAACCTCATTAAGGTGCATCTAGGCTCACCCTTTTATAGTGCGCTTCATTTGATGGGACAACACTATCTTCCCAGTTCTAATATTGCCTCCTACCTTTACCACAATATACTTGAAACTACTAACTACTGCTTCATTTGGTGGGACATCACTATCTTCCTGATTCTAATACTACCTCCTTGTAGAAAAATAAATTTTGAGCCAATTAAATGGCGACAAGTGTCAAATTCCATGTTATAGTCAATTTAATAATTTTCTATTTTATTTGGGAAGTTAATCAAATTTTAATTCTTAAATAAATATTTAATTAATTGACTATTTAATATATATTGTTGGCCAATTAAAGAATGCCACATGTATATTTTAAAGGTCAATTAAAGAATGCCACATGTCATTTTCTTGGAGAGTAAAATAAATATTTATTTCTTTTAAATAATTATTAAAGAGATAAATATTGGAAATTCATGGACCAATCAAATTGAAGTCTTCTTTTCCAAGACTCTCTCTCCTAATTATCTCTTTAAGTAATTATTAAGAGATAAATATTAGAAATTATGGACCAATCAAATTGAAGCCTTCTTTTCCAAGACTCTCTCTCCCAACACCTATAAATAGGGACCCTCCCTAAGGTGAAAAATCACAATTCATATTCAAATCCACAAGTCATATTCAAGTTAAAGAGCTCTAGAGAATTCTCTCCACAAGATTCAAGTATTCTTGAAAATCCAAAGGCGTTCTTGAAGATCCGAAGGAAGATTCAAGTGCGCTCAAGCCCAAGACCGACGTTCAATCCGGAAACAAGTTGTCAAGCCTCCGAATTGCGTTGTTAAATTCAAAGTGTTTTAAAGATTCAAAGGCGTTCTTGAAGATCCGAAGGAAGATTCAAGTGCGTTCAATCTAGAAACAAGCTGTCAAGCCTCTGAATTACGTTATTAAAGTCAAGACCGGCGTAGAGAAGATCAAAATCAACTTTGCGGCGAAGACCAAGGACTCGTGTTCTTCACGTTATTGGGAAATCACGACTTTCGATTCGAGATCAAGCAGTCAAGCCCTCGAAGAAACGTTATTTAAATCTATATTCAAGACCGGCGGAGATCAAACTGAAGATTCGTCTCCAAAAGTCTCAAATCCATTTGAAGATCGCTCTTGAAGAAATTAATCAGTGGAATAATAGAGATTTGTAATCCACTATATTTCATTTGATCCATTGAAATCTATTTGTACGAAGTTCTCGTGTTCTCGTGACCACATTTATGCAATTAATTAGAGGTTATTTTATAATAATTAGAGGTTATTTTATAATGTTTTGATACTATTTTTTAATTGATTAATGGAAATTTTCTACATTCAAGAAAATTTAGTGGAAATTTGATATGAACAATAGTAATAGCATGACTTAAAAATTACGATAGATCAATGCACGCGATCATCCTATATCCACCTTACATTTTTTTCTTCTTTTTTATTTTTTTGGTGCAAACTATGGAGGCTAGAGGCTCGAGGGATGGCTGGACCGGGACTCGCGCGTCTAGGATAAGACACCCCGATAATATCGTGATCGAGCCAAAGTCCCAAGCTTAAGAGAGGTGAAGAAATCTGTTGCATGCCCAACGAGGAGGATGCTACCAAGACCGTCATATGATCAGCCGCAAAGTTGATTTCCTCTGCAGCTAACGCGCCATCCTATAGCCACCTTACATTGAATCACTTGATATTTTCTCATTCATTTCAATACTTGTAATAAGAATAAGCAAGAAACTACACATATAAATTAATCTTAAAAGCATCTCTATCATTACATTTTTTTTTTTTATGTAACCCCAATATTTTGGCTACTCCATAATTAAGAAATCAAGAACACAAACCATAAATCACCTAAAAGAAACCGATTAATATCACATCCTTGATAATAATCACACAATTTGAATCTCAAATTGGAAAGAAGTATAACATATATAATAAAAAATCAAAATAAAATAAGAAAAATGTCAAGTCAAACTAATATGGGACTGGAACAGAAGACTTGCTAACTTGATCGAGCACATCAAGAATCTCAGCCCTACTCCTCACCATCCTATGAAATACTTCCCTCACCTGCTTCTTCAGCGGTCCCAACCCTTCCTCCATTCTCCGGCAAACCTCCGCCAGCTCCTCCACCACCGCAGCCACCTCCGTCGCCCTCTCCTCCTCCATCGGGTACACGAACCCCTCCGCCATCTCCGCCAGCGTCTGCGCTGCCTTCTCCATCCTCACCACCTCCTCCAACAAACCCGCCCCTCCCGACTTCTCCTTCTTCTTCCACTCCTCCCCGATCTTCTCCACCAGCCCGGCTATCGGCTGGCCCCAGCACCCACCGGGTCCACGCGCCGCTGG